AAGATCTTTTTTCTAATTGAGCATTAATTGTCGCTCATTTTGCTAAAATTGATTTTAATTCAAGCTCTGGTTTGTATGATGATCCGTCAAAAGTAATTGATTCTCAATAAAAGGCTTCAGATCTAAGTTTTCATACAAAAAACTTCCCCTAATGACTTAAAAGATCCAGAACATGAGGAAATTACATCTATTGCAGGTATTTTAGGTTTCAATAATTGATAAATTACGTTTTATCTCGTTGTAATGTCGTAATAATATTGGATTTGCTTATTTGATGAATTATATATTTGATTTTAGAAGTAGATTTGTTGATTAATGACATGACCTGGTACTAAATCTGTATAATATGGGTTGATATGTTAGTATTCCAAATGTTCTTATATGATTCTGATTTGTATATGATTTTGATTTATATTAATCAATGGATTATCACTATAATTTTTTGATTTGGTATTTAATTGAATCTTTTGTATGTTGTAAAGCTTTAGAATGTTACTAATATTTGATGTTTGTAGTTAATTTAAGTTAGTTTGTTTCATATTCATCACAACAAAACACTAAAATGTTCACAAAAATGGCTCATTTTACACAATCATATTCATATTATATACATGATGAATCTCCACTTTACAAAACATGAACTTTTATAATTCCACTAAAGTCTATATATTTTGGAATATTTTTATGTGATATTCTAATTCTTATATGAAGTATAATGTATGTTTTAGTTGAATACTATATATATTTTGGATTGATATTTATTTTATATATTCTTGATTGTTATTATGCTAAATTTTCAATATTCTAATTATTATAATGTATGTTCTAGTAAAAATATTCTAGATATTCTGAAATGTTATTACATGGTATCTTGTTAGTCTATGAATTGAAATGTGTGTTTTAATATAACATTATATATATTATGCTTGCGATTATGTGTTTTTGTAAAAATTCAAAACCCTAGAAAGCAGAATCGCCAAGCTCAATTTTCATCTATTTCTGAATCAACACGTTTTTCGTGATTATAATTTTTTTGAGATTTCATCATGATAAACACTAAACCAGTCATAGAAATTCTTCATTTTTATCGATTCATATTCGGATTATACACCTGATCATTCTCCAATTCACAAAACATGTATTGATTTTTTCTATATTTCGACTATAACTTGGTAATAAAATTATTCCAATTTACGTAGTTAGGGTTTATGATATAGTTATTTTGATTTATAAATCAACAACAATTCAAGCATTTGTATTCTACATGCTTTTGAGTTATCCTTGATTTTGATTCTAATATGATGTCATATATTACTTCGTAACTTTATTTCATTAGATAATATAGTGTTTTATAACATTGAAGTCTAACTGTTTTTGAATTCTTTTACATTTATGAAGTAGTTTTATTGTCGACAGGTTTAGCTATGAATTTTGGATTTTCAGAAAATTCAGTACCAAAAAGTTGAGGATAAAGGATTCAAAGAAAGTTCTCAAACAAAGTAACATTATGATTTCAGTAAGGACCATATGTGAGTTATTTTAGGTATTATGTTAATTATTTATCTTCTGGTATAAATTTAGTAAAAAGGTTTTTGATATTCTACATATTCTTATTAGTATAATCTAAGTTCAAATGTTATTGTATTATTTAATTGGAAGATTTAGTACAAATAGAGTGATATGGGTTTTGCTATCTAAATATTCTGATTTTGTCTAAACTGCTTGATTTGAACGTTTTTGTGAAGTAATGTGTAATATTCAGAGAGCATTTGATATATTATGCAGTTATGTGAAATATCATAAAGTTATATGTCGTATTCTAATTTCAGGCATTTTGATTTTTGTTGGAAACAACTTTCTTCAAACTTTTTGTTAAGTAATATGTAATATATTATTTTAGACATCTTAATTTTGTTGAATTAACTTGTTTTGAACATTTTTGTTAAGTAATGAGTAATATATGATTTTAAACAAAATGCATTTAGTTGGAAACAACATGTTTAGAACATTTTTTAAAATTTATTGTTTATATCCTACTTTATTGTTTTAACAAAACTATGGTTTATTTTTTTGATGCAGATAAGATAAAGAAATTACCAAATCAAGGGAAAATGAGTTTTTGATCGTAAAGAAAAGAATGTACGACAAGGTCTATAAAAATATGTAGTTCATGGTGCCTCATCAGATAGTTCATCAAGTGATCAAATAATAGTTATGGTTTGAATGTTTGAAGATTGGTGAACATTTAATAAAACAATATTGTGGTTGAACAATAGTTATCTTTTAAATAATAATACATGTAATTTTGTAGTTTATGTCGTGTAATGGTAGTAACACCTTTCACATATTAGACGAGTTTAAAATTAAAGTCTCCATGTAAAATATTCCATCAGAATAATATTGTATGTTTTATGTTATAATAAGCATATGTATAATATTCTAATAGAATAATTTTATGTGTTGTTTGTTATCGTCAATTGATGTTTATGTCTTTTTTACAATTTAAGTCACTATTCAAAGTAAATTTTATAAGTAGAATGTATGATGTTTAAAATCATTAGAATGTTGTACTTTATGATGTATGATGTTTCTAATCTAATAAAATAAAGTTATAGGTTTTTATAATCTATTTGGAGAATATTTTAATAGAACAATATTCTGCGACATTCTAAGTTATATGCAAGATATTTTAATACAACAATGTATAATTAAATTTGGCTTTTTAATACTCAATGATATGATATTAATCTAATTATTCAAAATATTCAATATTTTTATAATGTGTTGTTAATATGTAATATTATGAAGTTATTTGTAATATTATAAAATTTAAGCGTAGTATTCTAAAATTATGTTGTAATGTGTACAATTAACTTACATTATGTAAGATTCTAATATTATATGAAATATTATGTAATACTCTGAATTTATAATTTATAGTGTTATAGAAATATATAGAATAGTCTATAGAAAAAAATTGATTTATAGAAAAGAAAAGTTTATAATCTTAATCTGTAATAATCTGAAAGATTGTAATATAATGTAATATTATATTATAAGATGAAATACTCTAATTTAGACCATCATTCCCTTCGAGTGTGTAGGAAACCAAATAATATATAGGAACCTAAACTAATAAACTTTTTAAACGAATGCGAAACATGTAAGTTTATAAAATGAAATGAGTACTTTTAGGATAAATATCAAACTTTTCTCTTGAAGTTGAAATGTATTCTAAAAACCTCATAAATTAAAAACCTAATTTCAAGTTTGTATTATAAAAAATATATCACAAGGTTACAGTACTTACTAATATGTTGTTAATTGATACGTAATATTATGAAATTTAATGGAATATTCTGATATTAAAGTGTAATATTCTAAATTGTGTTATAACATATTAAATGAACTTATATTACATACGATTCTAATGATATATTTAATATTATGTATATATATATATATATATATATATATATATATATATATATATATATACCATTCTAACAGAATAATTTAATTAGGTTGTCTATATTCAAGTCACAACTTAATATTTTTATAGAATAATACTATAGGATGTTTGTACATATAGAACATTCTAAATAGAATGTAACACTAAATGATTATATGAACATCAAATATTGAACTATACTATAATAATATATATGTAAGAAAATTAAAATAATGCACAGTTTATTTGTAAATACCAATGTAAAAGTAAAAACTTAGAATATAGTGTTATCGTTTTATTCAATTACCTCAAATACATTACTTGAAACCAAACAAAAAAATATAAGCAAATTTACAACATCCCACTACATTGAATGAGACAGTCCAGGAAATTATTATTAAGCCACATTCTCTATAGTTCCATTCAAGACTTACCTAAAAAGTTGTAATCATAGAAAACATGAAAGTTTTATCTAATTTCATAACTGTATGTACCACTTTACACTGTGATAGGGGTGAAAGGGGTTTGATGGGTATTAGGATACATATATGCTGCAATAACAATTTTTAAAGTTGCATAAATGTAGAGAACGATTTCATCAAGAAAGAAATAAAGAGAGTGCAGGGAGTAAATTAAACCAACATACTCATTACAGATTTTGAATCTAAAGATGAACCAAGTCCTCATCATCCATCAACTTCTTAGCCACTTTAACTCTTTATGGACCAAGCACTATTGAAACCAACCTGTCAATATGCT